GGCCCTCTGCTCCTTCTTGTGACACTCACAGTAATGATGCCTATCAGAGGTGGTTTTGCTGGGTACAAGAAGACAGCTACTGCTGGGCGCTGGTGGTTCACGCCTATAATCCTAGCTACTCAGGAGGCTGAGATCTGAGGATCGCGGTTCAAAGCCAGCCCAGGCAGGAAAGTCCGTGAGACTCTTATCTCCAATAAACCACTAGAAAACCAGAAGTAGCGCTGTGGCTCAAGTGGTAGAGTGCTCACCTTGAACTGAAGAGTGCAGGGACAGCGCCCAAGCCCAGAGTTCAAGCCCAATGACCGACCAAAAAAAAAAAAAAGAAGAAGAAGAAGAAGACAGCTACTAAAACACGCTGAAAAAGAGTCTTCTTACTGCCCTTGCAATAAGAGTAAGAATTTTACCACATATAAGGAAGGAAAAATATTAGTACAGCTAGAAAGAATTGTTATGATTGAAGTTCTGGCAAGTGACAGGGAGAAAAGGGGTTGAGAGCAGTTGTTAAGATAAGAGAAGAAAGGGCTGGGAAGGTGGCTCAGTGGTAGAGTGTTTGCCTTGCATGCATGAGGCCCTGGGTTCGATTCCTCAGCACCACATAAGCAGAAAAAGGTAGAAGTGGCGCTATGGCTCAAGTGGTAGAGTGCTAGCCTTGAGCTGAAGAGCTGAGGGACAGCACCCAAGCCCAGAGTTCAGGCCCCACGACCAACCAAAAAAAAAAAGAGAGAGAAAGAGAGAGAAGAGAAGAAGAATATGCTTTTAGAAATGCTGGGTCAAGAAAACAGTAAGGCTAGAAGAAGAAGAGAAGAGATTACCCTGAGATACCATGCTGTGAAAAGCTGCTGTGACAGTGCAGAAGTATATAGCAGTGACCCTGCTGCTGTCACTGCAGCTTTTCAATCCTTCCATGAGGATCAAGAAATGAACTCAAAATAGAGAAAGGAAGGAATGTTTAGTATCAGTCTGGGTTGCCAAGATAAAATGTTTTAGACTGATTCACAGTGCCAAACCCAATAATCATTAACATTCCATATGTGTTTTTGGAAACCACAATTTTTTTTTTGTATGAGTATTTTGTTTTGTTCTGTTTTTTATAATGCTACTATTTTCAAATGCTTATAACCTTTCCTAGAATCTGAAAACAATTCCTAAGTATATGAAAATATGCTTAAACATAGTTTTATCAAAGTTTCTAGAGTGTGACCTTTATCTTTTACATGATACACAGCATTCTATTGGAAAAATAATAGAATCATAAGTCAGACATTTAAGAAATCAAGATTTGAAACTATATGGGAACTAATCTGACTGACCATAGATGAATAGTTCATAAATGAGGCATAAGCTTACCTCACTCAACTATGAAGAATTTTCAATAAGTTATAAAAGGAAATATTTCAGGGCTTGAAAGTAGAAGCAATATAGGTAGCAGGAAAAATATAGTTTATTCTCAAATTCTCTAAAATTCTATAGAACATTATTAGGAAAATGGAAGTTAGGAAGAAGATCACCCTTAAAATATTAGTGCTACTGTTCACAATAGCTAGGATATGGAAACAACCCAGATGCCCCACCACAGATGAATGGATCCAAAAATTGTGGTATCTATACACAATGGAATGTTATGCAGCCATTAGAAATGACAAAATAATGGCATTTGCAGGGAAATGGATGGAGCTAGAAGGAATCATGTTGAGCGAGGTAAGCCAAGAACGAAGAGACAAACGGTACATGGTCTCCCTGATAAGTGGATGCTAAATCCAAAATGTTAGGTGATATGACAAAACTAACAGGCCTTAAGAAACAAAGAACTCCCACTCATCTGGTTGAACCACTACTAAATATCCCCATGCTGCTGATCACATATATGGTATAAAACATGTGAACACCGTTATATGTTACAGACTGTGATAGACAATTTGCTCCAGGAAAGTTAGAATGAACTTGTGACTTTAAATGAGCATCATTATTCCACAATACTGTGAAATTCCGGAAATTATGTAATCACTTAATCACAATCAAAAAAAAAAAAGAACCTCGGGGAAGGGAGGGAGGGAGGGGATGGTAGGGGGAAAACAATGGAGGGGGTAACAATGTTCAAGAGGAAGTGTACTCATTACCTCACTCATGTAACTGTAACCCTCTGTATAGTATCTTTACAATAAAAAAAAAATATATTAGTGCTAGCTATTCAGAAGAGTCTCCATTTATTTGACTAGAAATATAGCTTGACAGAGATACTTCTTCTTTTAGGCTCATTGTACCCAAGAATTCTAGCCCTTCTCCCCAGGTTCTTACCTGCCTCCACTGGCCCTCTGCTCTTGGCCCTTCACTTAAATTGTGAACTCCCAAAAGTAAACATTGTGTATATTTCATAGTTTTCAAAAACCTAACATTGCATACAACATACAGAGGATTAGCCCCTCAAAAACAAACAAAAAAAAAAAACACAGTAAAAACCAAGCCTATATTGGGGTTGGGAAGGTGGCTCAGTGGTCAAGTGCTTGCCTTGCATGCATGAGGCTCTGGGTTCAATTCCTCAGCACCACATAAGCAAAAAGAAAAAAGCCGGAAGTGGCGCTGTGGCTCAAATGGTAGAGTGCTAGCCTTGAGCTGAAGAGCTGAGGGACAGCGCCCAGGCCCTGAGTTCAGGCCCCATGACGGGACCCAAAAAAAACAAAAAACAAAAAACAAGCCTATAGTGGTAGTTCACACCTGTAACCCCAACACTTGGGAGGCTGAGCCAGGAGGATTGAGTATTCAAGACAAGCCTGAACTGTGTAGGAAGAACACAACCCTGTTCCTGTTAATGGACTGGGAATGTGACTCAGTGGTAGAGTGCTTACCTTGCATGCATGAAGCCCTAGGTTCGATTCCTTAGCACCACATAAATACAAAAATCCTGAAATGATGCTGTGGCTCAGTGGTAGAGTGCTAGCCTTGAGCAAAAGAAGTTCAGGGACAGCCCTGAATTCAAGCCCCAGGACTGGCAAACAATAAGTATTATTATTATTATTTCCCATTACTCACCTTTAGCCCCTGATAATTCCCATTATACTTTGTTTCTATGAATTTGACTACTGTGAAATCACAGTGCTACTTTTTTTTTCCCGCCAGTCCTGGGGCTTGAACTCAGGGCCTGGGCACTGAGCTTCTTTAGCTCAAGGTTAGCACTCTTACCACTTGAGCCACAGCACCACTTCTGGCTTTTTTTGTTTATGTGGTATTGAGGAGTGGAACCCAGGGCTTCATGCATGCTAGGCAAGCACTCTACCACTAACCACTAAGCCACATTCCCAGCCCCTATAGTGTTACATTTTTTTTTTCAGTGTTACATTTTTATGACTAGTTATTTCAGTTAGTGTAATGCCCGGGTCATCATCTGTATGATAGCATATCAGAACTTACCTCCTTTTTTAGGACTGGATAATGTTCCTTTTATGTCTATATACACTATTCTTTTTTAAGTTGTTATTTTTTGGGGGAGGGAGGAGGGTCCGGTCGTGGGGCCTGAACTCTGGGCCTGGGCGCTGTCCCTCAGCTCTTCAGCTCAAGACTAGCACTCTACTACTTGAGCCACAGTGCCACTTCTGGCTTTTTTCTTTTTGCTATGTGGTGCTGAGGACTCGAACCCAGGGCCTCATGCATGCAAGGCAAGTGCTCTACCACTGAGCCACCTTGCCAGCCCTTAAGTTGTTATTATAAAGGTTATGTACAGAGGGGTTACAGATATACACTATTCTTTTATCCACTCATCTATCATTGGGCACTTGTGTTACTTCCCTGCTTTGGCTGTTGGAGTAATACTACTTTGAATAACATTACACTAATGAGACCGTGCTTTCGGTTCTTTAGGAAAATACTCAGTAGTGGAATTTTAGAAATATATGTTTAATTATTAAGAAATCACCATACTGAGAATAGGAAAGTGAAACCTGTTGAAAGTGTTGGGGGTTTTTTGTTTTGTTTTTTTGCCAGTCTTGGGGCACTGTCCTTGAGCTTCTTTTGCTCAAGGCCAAAACTCTACCACTTGAGCTACAGCACCACTTCTGGCATTGTCTGTTTATGTGGTTGGTACTGAGGAATCCAACCCAGAGCTCATGCATGTTAGGCAATGCCCAGGACTGGTAAAAGAAAAAAACAAAAAACTTTATATTCTTTATTTTTTTGTGTGATTCCATCTTCTTTTCCTTATGTATGGTGTACTTAAGTGTATATCTTCGGTAGGGTTGTAAGAAGGGTACAGAACTGGAGAGAAAAAGGGTGAAAAAGTGCAGCAGTAGAACTCACTGGACACTGATGAAAATGAACTACACAAATTGTGGGTGGAGTCGTGCAGAAGGGATTGGGAGAAAGGGAACAGAAGACACTGTAGGAAAAGAAATGTACTTACCACCTGACTCATGTAATTGTAATCCCCACCGGAAGTGGCACTGTGGCTCAAGTGGTAGAGCGCTATCCTTGAGCTGAAGAGCTGAGGGACAGCGGCCAGGCCCAGAGTTCAAGCCCCACGACCGACAAAAAAAAAAAGAAAGAAAGAAATGTTGCAGAAAACATCTTAGAATAAAGTCTTTCCGTTTTCTGTGATGTATTCACAAAAGTGGAATTACTACATCAAGTGATATGTTCCAGTATATTTTCCAAAAGTATATTTTCCAAAAATGATGTGTGAATTCACATTTTTACCAGCCTTCAGGGAAAGACTGTTTCTCCATATCACTGGCACTTAAAAAGCTTTTCAATGTTTTCTGATATTGTCAATTTAAATGATGAGGACTTTGTTGGTCAGTATTTAATGGTAAAAAGTGAAAGAACACTGATAAATTTATACTTGACATATATTTGACATCAATTTTCATGAAAAATGCAACTGAGAAGTCCCTTTGTGTGAAGTTGAATAGGTAGATTAACATTCTGAAGCAATCAGATTTTAAGTGCTCTTCCTGTTTTCTACCATTTTCTTGACTAAGCAAACTAGCCAATGGCTTCTTGTTTTTTCTTAGCTTAATGCAGACATGGAAAGAGAAGAAGGAGAAGAGTTTGAAGACAATATGGATGTTTTTGATGACAGCAGTTCAAGCCCTTCTGGCACCTTAAGAAATTATCCACTCACCTGCAAAGTTGTTTACTCCTACAAGGTTTGTATTCTCCAACATATTGCTGATAGCAGATCTTGGAGACTCTGTATCTAGCCAGCCTCTCATAATGTGTCTACTTAGCATATTATATTAGATTACTTGTGTTAAAATGTCCTATACTAATCCCTTAGTCTCTGTGAGCCTCAATTTCCTTATATCATAAGGATAATATTGTAGAGTTAATATGAAGATAAATCATAACTTAAAATAATTAAAATAAATAATAAAGTAATAATTCAGTAGGAAGGCATTTAGCACGGTGCCTAGTATATTGAAAATCTTTAGTAACCAAAACTCTTCCTGTTTGACATAAATCCTCCATTAGGATGAGCCTCAAAAGGGATATCAAGGAAAATTATTTTACAAAGCAATTTTTAGGCTTTGCCTGTACTCCTAATATAACCATCTCTTATTATCTTTGTTAAGCAGGAACTTTGATAAATTTAGACTTTCTACATCTGGTTTGGTATAATTGCTCTTAATCTCTCTCACCCTTTCCTTGAAGTCCCATTAAACTTTTTACTAAACACAGAGTAAATTGAGTTTTGACCTCCAGTTGTTCTTTGTTTTGCCTCCTTCCACCCATCAGCCAGTTCTATTGAACTCACCTCCACATATCCTGAATCTGGATTCGGGAAATAGCTCACTGACAAAGTACTTGCCTCGTACATGAGGCTGTGTTTCATCCCCAGTACTTTAAAAAAAAAAGTGTATATGTATACACATATACATGCATGCACACACACAAACACACACACACACATCTTGAATCTAATCACTTTTTATTTTCTCTGCTGCTATTATCTTTGTCCACGCCATTGCTTTAGTGATGGGGAGAGGGGACTTGAAATTAGTCTCCCTCTTTCATAGTTGCCTCCCCATTGTCCATTTTTAACTCTGCAGTCAGAAAAATCTTCAACATATGAAAGAGATGATATTATTCCCTTTGCTAAAACTTCTAAGCTTTCTATTACACATAGGGGAAAAAACACAAACTCTTTCCTGGGATCTGTAACATCCAGCCTGATTTGGCTCCAGCCAGTTTCTTTGGCTTCATATCATACCATCTTCCCACCTCTCCCACTCAAAACACATTAGCTACCCTGGCTGCCTTAGGCTAAAGCCCTGATTATACTCCTTTGTACTTGAGATCCTTTCTGCCTAGACTTCTATTTCCCCAAATCCTAGTTTGCTGCCCACTTCTCACCATTGGAGCTCAGCTCAAATGGTGCTTCCTGAGGCCACCCCTAACCACTTAAGGAGACTGCCAACACCTCAGTTGCTTCTCTGTCCCATTGCCCTCTTTTACTTACTCTGCATAGTCATGTTTTATTAATGATGAGAATTCATTCTGAGGGAGGCAGCATTAAAAGATTTTATTATCACGCACCTATCAGAGTGAGCTTACATAAGCCTAGACACTATAGCCTACTATACATCTAGGCTACATAGTAAACATGCATTATTACCGTTCATCAAACCATGATCAAGCAATGTGAGATTAAATAAAGCCCAGGAGAAAATGATGAACTGTGCATGAGATATATGAGGCTGCTGTACTAGCATGCTGTTTCATAAGCAAACATTTTTTGTAAGTAGAAAGATAGACTCAAAAATGATAAAAGTAGATGGATACCATTGGTTCACACCTATAATCCTAGCGCTCAGGAAGCTGAGATCTGAGCTAACCCAAACAGAAAAGTCTTAGAAATTCCTATCTCCAAATAACCAACAAAAAGATAACTGGAGGTGTGGCTTAAGCAGGAGTACTAGCTGTGAGTGAAAAAGCTAAGTGAGAGCATGAGACCCTGAATTCAAGTCCTGGTACCAACACAAATAAATAGGTGCTTATATATCCATCCATACATATATACATATACACATGTACATACACACATACATATATACATACATATGGGAGACGGAGACAGACACACTGACTTGAGGCCAAATCATGATTCTTATGGCCCAGAAAAGGTCTGGATTCATCTGGTGAGGCCATTTTTAATGATCATAAGAAAAGATTCATAATTTTTTTTTTTCGGTCATGGGCCTTGAACTCTGGGCCTGAGCGCTGTCTCTCAGCTCTTCAGCTCAAAGCTAGCACTCTACCACTTGAGCCACAGTGCCACTTCCAGTTTTCTGGTGGTTTATTGGAGATAAGAGTTTCATGGACTTTCCTCCCCAGGCTGGCTTTGAACCACGATCCTCAGATCTCAGCCTCCTGAGTAGCTAGGATTACAGGCGTGAGCCACCAGCACCCGGCTAAGATTCATAATTTTTAATCCTGTTAGTATCCTAAGGAAATAAACCACAATAGAGTATTTTAGATACAAAAAAAAAAAATTGGGGGATCAGTCATGGGGCTTGAACTCTGGGCCTGAGCACTGTCCCTGAGCTCTTCAGCTCAAGGCAAGTGCTCTGTGGCTTAAGCCAGAGCACCACTTCTGGTTTTCTGGTGGTTAAATGGAGATAAGAGTCTCACAGACTTTCCTGCCTGGGCTGGCTTTGAACCATGATCCTCAGATCTTAGCCTCCTGAGTAGCTAGGATTACAGGCATGAGCCACCAGCACCTGGCTACAAACTATTTCATTCTAATATACTCTATAAAAGCTCAAAGTTGAAAGTCTAAGAAGAGAATAGTTAAATAAATTATGATCACAAAATACAATATTATTGTGACAATTATTGAAATTTACATTAATGAATTTTTTGGTAAGAAAAGTATACACTGAGCCAGCACTAGATTGCTGAGGCAAAAGGATTTCTAGGCTAGCCTGGACTACATACTGAGATCTTGTCTCAAAATAAAACAAAAAAGGCTGAGGGTGTGACTCAAATGGCAGAACACCTACCTAGCAAGTGCAAGGCCCTGAGTTCAAAAAGACAGGGTCCTAATGGCTCACTTCTATAATCCTAACTTTTCAGAAAGCTGAGACCTAAACAATTGAGATTCCAATTAACCAGCAAAATGTCCAACTGAAGGCATGATTCAAGTAGTAAAGCCAAACCAAGTGAGAAAAAAAAAAAAAAGCAAAAGCTTGAGGCTCTTGAGTTTAAACCCTAGTACCAGACCAAAACAAAAGTGAAACTCTTAATATCATAATGTCAAATAAAAAAGTAGGATATCAAATTATATGTACCTCAAAGATCTCAACTGTGAATTATGTTCAGCTTGTCGACAATGAACATGTACTGCTTTGAAAATCAGGAAAAGTGTATTGTAAAGTACAAGAAATTCAGAAAGATCTGGGTGGAAATGAACTTCTGGCTGTCACTGGATATTAGGACTTAATGGAAACATTATGGGACCATGTGTAAATTTTTAAATAATTTTTATTGAGATTAAGTGATTATATAAATTTCACAAATTTCACAGTATTGTGGGATAGTGATACTTAAAGTCACAAATACAGGCTGGGAAAGTGGCTCAGTGGTAGAATGCTTGCCTTGCATGCATGAGGCCCTGGATTTGATTCCTCAGCACCACATAAGCAGAAAAAGCCAGAAGTGTCACTGTGGCTCAAGTGATAGAGCACTGGCCTTGAGCTGAAGAGCTCAAGCACCCAGGCCTAGAGTTCAGGCCCTACACCAGACCAAAAAAAAAGCCACAAACACTGTGTGTATATTTAATAGCCATTTAGTGACTACTTACTAGCTATTGTTGGGATGAGAGAAGAAATACAGTCCCCACACTAAATAGGTCATCCTTGAAGCAAGGCCACAGGGCAACAACTAACTGGAGTACTGTGGTAGCTTTTGTTGCAGAGATCTAAAAAATCTAGGGACAGAAGGAGCAAAAAGCAAGTAGCTCATGATGAGTGATCTGGAAAAGTATATTAACATCCCAAGTAATAATAATAGCTGTTATTTCTTCAGTTCTAATTTCTTCAATAACCCTGTAAGCAAGAGATTTCCTTACCTAACTACCTCATATACCAGCAATACTCACTTCTAGGCTCTGGAACATAGCAGTGATCAAAACAGACAAAAATTTCTTCCCTGGAGCTCGACTACAAGAAGAAAATAGAAAAAAAAAGGAAAATGGAGGCTAAAAGACATCTTATGCCCACTTGCACATAGAAACAGACTGAAATGAAGCTGGACTTAACACCCACAGCAGTCAGCCTTTCATCAGATAGGAATGATGAAACAGAGGAAAAACATTGGATAGCCAGTAGAAACACAGAGGCAAGGAAGAACACATAGTATGTCAGAGGACAGGGGAAAATGTGCTGGTCCAAAGCTTTAAGAGGCCTACCCACCAGGGACCTTGTGGGTCTTGAGTGCACAAGTTGACTTTTTTAAATAAAAGAATAGGTCATCGGTGTATGGGGATAATGCTGCCAACCCATAATGCCTACATCTGTTAGACAGCTAGTGCTGCCAGTCTGGACAACTTACATGGACCGCCATATTTTCACAAGGGCAGCAGTGTGTTTAAAAAGTACTCTGGCCTGGAGCTGGGAATGTGGCTTAGTGGTAGAATGATTGCCTCTCATGCATGAAGCCCTGGGTTTGATTCCCCAGTACCACATAAACAGAAAAAGCCAGAAGTGGTGCTGTGATTCAAGTGATAGAGTGCTAGACTTGAACAAAAGCAGCTCGGGGACAGCGCCCACGCCCAGAGTTCAAGCCCCAGGACTGGCAAAAACAATTTTTTTAAAAAGTAATTTACTTAAAATTTAGGCCTAGGATATTTCCTAGGCACCTATCTTCAAAACTGTGGCAGGGGTTGGGAAGAGATTATTGGGGTTTGAACTCAGCCTAGCAGTCACTCTGTCACTTGAGCCCTACCTCCAGCCATTTTTTACTTTTTTTCAAATACTGTCTTGATCTTTTGCCTGGGGCCAGCCCACCCCAGGATCTTTCCGCCTACAGCTTTTCATATAACTGGGATCAAGGACATGTGCCACCACACTTAGCTTGCTATTGGTTGACAAGGGGTTTCAAGAACTTTTTACCCAGGCTAACTTCAAACCAAAATCCTTCTAATCTCTACTTCCTGAATATCTGGGATTATAGGCATTAGCCACAACTCCTAGCCCTTCAGTACAGCATCATCTAGAATCTGGGATTTGATTAAATGTTTTTCATGTTCACGATATGGGAAGTGGGTCTTAGAAAGTGACCTTATTACTGTCTCTTTGCCTGTGCACCTCAGGGATAGTTTACATTTTGACATTGTGAGATTTGAAAAACTATATGGTCTCAGATGATACTATTAACTGATCTTGGGATTTGGGGAAATACTGTTTGTGTGCTTATTAGAGAGCTAGAAGATAACCTACAAGTCCTTGCCTGTTCGTATGATAGACAAGTCTCTTTAGAAAGCCTTAAGACTTCCCAGTGCCTCTTTGGAGCCTCTCTGAGTTTTCTTCTCCAGTCTTGAGGGCATATCTAGTAGCTGGTGCTAGCAGGGATCATACAACTGTCCCAGGATGAACAGAAGCACCCAAGTGGATCAGCCAATCTCCACACTCAGATTGAAGCAGAATCTAAACCTTGAACTCATCTCAGTCATTGCTTTTCCCACATTTTTCTTCTTGGTCACTGTTTTACAGTGTTTCCAGATCACTCATTGCTCAAGCTAGTGTCTAATCCATGCATACAGTACATTGCATTTTACTGCATGCACCTCTGTAATAGCCTCTGACAGCCATTCCATTCCAGTGCCTTCTGTGCCTGTGCTTTCCAGACCATCATGGTTTATCCACATTGACGCCTCCATCCTCCTGAGAATGGCAGGGTTGTCATTTGGAAGACATGAAGGCATCAAGTCGCGTAGCTTACCAGCCAGACACATGGGTTGGAGCTGGACCCTGAGTCCTCTACTTCTATCATAGTGTTTTGCTCACTGGATCTCATCACCTTTTAAGAATTCAGTTTCTGTTACAGTTTTATTTTGTTTAGTTCTTTGAAGTAAAATTTCATCTCATTATGAGATTTTTGCCATGTTAAATATTTTGCTTCTCCAAATCATTTCAGTATTTTGGTCTCTGGTTTTTGTTATGACCAGCTTACATCTGCTCTTTATCTAACCTTTTTAATTTTGTCCATGACCATCCTACATTGCAGGCTTCTCAACCAGATGAGTTGACCATTGAGGAACATGAGGTGTTAGAAGTGATTGAAGATGGAGATATGGAAGACTGGGTAAAGGTATATTCCTTTGCTCATATCGCCCCTTCTTGTGACATTTTTAGGAGTTTTGGTTCTTGTTATGTCCTGTCCAAATTGTGTATGCAGACCTGTTTGCCCTTGTGTTTTACCCAGGCTCGAAATAAAGTTGGCCAAGTGGGTTATGTGCCAGAAAAGTACCTCCAGTTTCCCACCTCGAACAGCCTACTGAGCATGCTGCAGTCCTTGGCTGCTCTGGATAGTCGGTCACACACGTCCAGCAATTCCACAGAAGCAGAGCTCGTTTCAGGCAGCCTCAACGGAGATGCCAGTGGTAAAGACTAAAACAAGGCATTCTTTATCTGGTCCCATTTAGACTAAATTGTGTTGGCTGGGAGGTTAAAAGCATTTGATTCCCATCCTGTGATGATTTCCTGTATTCAATCACATTTTGTCCTGTACAGAAGAACCATAAAGTTGATATTCAGTGGGCAGAAATCTTACTGCTTTACATTACCCAGCCTGTGTGATGCTCTTTAGTTGTCATGGGAACACAGGAGAAGTTGCAGCACATTCCACTGTTAGTATTCTCACCAGATTTGTCTCTCTCTCCCTCCTCAGTCTGTTTTGTGAAAGCACTTTATGACTATGAGGGACAGACAGATGATGAGTTGTCTTTTCCTGAGGGAGCAATCATCCGTATCTTGAACAAAGAAAACCAAGATGATGATGGCTTCTGGGAAGGGGAGTTCAACGGGCGGATTGGAGTTTTCCCATCGGTGCTAGTAGAAGAACTTTCAGCCTCAGAGAATGGTGACACTCCATGGATGAAAGAAATTCAGGTACATGAGAGGGAAGATGAATTAGAAGATAAAAAACTTATCCCAAGAGGTCTGTTGATCCAAACATAAATGGTCTATAGACTCTGCCTCACCCTCCCATCTCATTCCATCTCTGGTTGCCTGGGGTCTGCAAAAGTGAATTTGGGAAACCAGAGACTTAGCTCAGAAAGTCAGGGACTTGTCTTGTTCTCCCATTTTCTGTTACCTGAATCCATGTACCAAAATGCTAAATTACATATAACACGTGAAATATTGTTTTGATGGAAAGGAAAAGAAGCAGGAAAGGGATATGTTGCCTCTGGTTGATTTATGTGGTACAGCTGTTAGTTGGCTCCTCCTCTCCCTCACTATGAGAGCCTCTATCCCACACTCAGGTACACCCTAGGCTTTCTTCCTTGTAGGGACAAGTGCCTTTACAGGAAATTCCTCATTGGGTCCACTTCACTTATCCTTTTGGGGGCTCTGTCATAGCAGCTTGGCAAGTGAAGGAATAAGGAACATGTTTCTAAGTCTTGTTTGCATGGTAATTATGACTCCTTAGCCTTATGTGTAGAAAACCTAGGGAAGTCAATTATCTTATTTATCACCAATTTTATCTTTACATTCAAAAAAATACTTTTTTGCATTTTGCTCATTTTTCAGCTTACTGAATTGGCTGGATTGGTTTTTTGGGTTTTTTTGGGGGGGTCCGGTCGTGGGGCCTGAACTCGGCCTGGGCGCTGCCCCTCAGCTCTTCAGCTCAAGGCTAGGCTCTACCACTTGAGCCACAGCGCCACTTCCGGCTTTTTTTTTTTTTTTTTTTGCTCATGTGGTGCTGAGGAATTGAACCCGGGCCTCATGCAAGGCAAATGCTCTACCACTGAGCCACTTTCCCAGCCCCATGGATTGTTACAGTGACAAAAAATGCTAAAGAATGGTTTAACTTGGTAACTGTTTAAGATAAACTAAAATTAGCTAAAGGTGTAACTAAAATAAAAAGACCCTTCCTAGCAGGTACAAAGAACTGAGTTCAAAAAGGATAAAAACAGGAGGGTGGGAGGGGGGGAGTGGGAGATGGGAAGGGGAAACAAAGGAGGCAACAATGCTTGATAAGAAATGTACTCATGGGGCTGAAATCTGAGGATCACAGTTTAAAGCCAGCCTGTGCAGATAAGTCTGTGAGACTCTTATCTCCAGTTAACTACCAGAAAACCAGAAGTGGAGCTGTGGCTCAAAGTGTTAGAGTGCTAACCTTGAACAGAAGAGTTCGGGGACAGCACCCAGGCCCAGAGTTTAAGCCCGATGATCCTCCCCCCAAAAAAAAAGAAAGAAAGAAGAATGTAAATGGAATAACTTTGACCAAAGTACATTTTATATGTAAATACCACAGTGAAACTCATTTGTGAAATTAATTTTTATGCTAATAAAATTAAAAGAAAAATGGACTATAATCAGTAGTTCATAATGAAATCTATTAGAGGGAAATTAAGTGTGACAAAGAAGTAGGTTTGGGTGGTTATTTTAGGCCCATTTGCTTCTAATGAGGCTGACAAGCTTTAACACTTATAACTTAGCACCAGAGAAAAGGTACATGGGCTGAGCAGCAAAGGAGCAACCAAGCTGCCCTTCCTGAGTCTGTCCTTCTTCCTGTAACTTTGCCTCCCTTGCTGCAGATCTCGCCTTCCCCCAAGCCAAATGCCGCCCTGCCTCCGCTGCCCTTGTATGACCAGCCTCCCAGCAGCCCTTACCCCAGCCCAGATAAGAGGAGCTCACAATTCTTCCCCCGATCTCCGTCAGCAAATGGTAAGGGTCTCCTGGCACAGTCTGAATGTGTGTTTACCTCAGGAATCCAAATCAGCAACACAAATAGATTGAGTCTCTTTGGTTCTCTCCCTTAGAAAACAGCCTTCATGTTGAATCACCAGGATTCTCACAAGCATCAAGGCATACTCCTGAGACCTCGTATGGAAAACTGCGTCCTGTAAGTTTCCTAATGGTCAGGGTTATAGATTGCATAATTCTTCCAAATCAAAAGTGAGGAACTTATGTTTTAGTGGCCCCTGTGTTCCTGATTCTGCCAGAAAAGGGTTAACCACTCAAAAAACCAGAAGTGGAGCTGTGGCTCAATTGGCGAGCTAGCCTTGAGCACAAAAAGGTTCAGAGACAACACTTAGCCCTGACCTCAAGCTCCACAACTGACAAAAAAATAAAAGGCTCCTACTTAGTCTTCCCCACCTCCGATCTCTTCAAACTGTTACCTGAGTCATCATATCCTACATTTAATAATCCTTGCAGTCTACCAAAGACCTCTTGGTAGGCAAAGTCCAAGTTTCGTTTTGTTGTTGTTATTGGTTGTGGGGCTTGAACTCTGGGCTCAGGCACTATTCTTCAGCTCAAGGCAAGTGCTCTACTGCTTGAGCCACAGCACCACTTCCAGTTTTCTAGTGGTTTATTGGAGACAAGAGTCTCACGGATGCTGGGAAGGTGGCTCAGTGGTAAAGCGCTTGCCTTGCATGCTTGAGGCCCTGGGTTCGATTCTTCAGCACCCATAAACAAAAAACAAGCTGGAAGTGGTGATGTGGCTCAAGTGGTAGAGCGCTAGCCTTGAGCTGAAGAGCTGAGGGGCAGCGCCCAGGCTCAGAGTCCAGGGCCACGACCGGACCCAAAATAAAAACCAAAACAAAATCCTCTTTAGCCGGGTGCTGGTGGCTCACGCCTGTAATCCTAGCTACTCAGGAGGCTGAGATCTGAGGATCGCGGTTCAAAGCCAGCCCGGGCAGGAGAGACCGTGAGACTCTTATCTCCAATAAACCACCAGAAAACCGGAAGTGGCGCTGTAGCTCAAGTGGTAGAGCGCTCGCCTTGAGCTGAAGAGCTGAGGGACAGCGCCCAGGCCCAGAGTTCAAGCCCCATGACCAACCAAAAAAAAAAAAAAAAGAGTCTCACGGACTTTCCTGTCTGGGCTGGCTTTGAACCGTGATCCTCAGATCTTAGCCTCCTGAGTAGCTAGAATTACAGGTGTGAGCCACCGGCGCCCAGCTAAGTCCAAGTTTCTTAACAAGGTCCTTCACTGTGTCAGCCACCTTTCAGCCTTCTCCCCTGAGACATGCTTAGTTCTACATGAAGTCTCCTTGCTGCACTCCCAGCCTTAGCTTTGGAGGAGGGCTTTCAGACTACAGGGACTCCTGTGCCCATCAGGCTTTCAGCCTAGGTATCACTATTCCATTTTTGGATTTAGTACTTCACCTAGAACAGCACTTGCTTCTCAGGGTGGGAGACAATGAAGATTAGTTGGAAAGTGCAAGTTCAGAGCTTCTGGGCCCTAGAATGCCTATATCCTTGAATAGAGGAGTGATTTGCATTTACAGATGTTCTAAGTTGAGTCAAGAAGCTGACTGACACCCGTGTCATTGTCTTCTGCTCAGGTCCGGGCAGCTCCCCCTCCTCCCACACAGAACCACAGGAGGCCAGCTGAAAAGATGGAGGATGTGGAGATCACGCTGGTGTGACCATGGCTTTACCCTCTGTTACTGCTACAATCAAGGCCAGGCTTGGAGTTCGGCCCATCTTGTTTTTTTAGGCACCTTTGCATGATGATGACTCTTGAACAGAGCAAAACCAAGGAGGATTCTTGACTGGTGGCCTGATGGACTCCTCCCATGTTTTGAATATTTTGTGCCTTTTTTAGTTGTCATTTTCTATATCATCTCTCCTACCATAGCACAAATCTTAGAGGTCCTAGAAGAAGAGTGGAGAGCAGCCCTCATGCCTAACAGTGGCCCATTTTTATATGAGACTGGCCTCATGCCAGGGCACAGTCGCAGAATTACTGATCATGTGCATTCGTACAGTATATTACTGTGGCCACAAGGATGTGGCAAAGATCTCATCTTTCTTCAAGTGGCTTTTGCTCATCTGATTAAGTATTAATCAGGTTATGTTGGCTACATAAGGAAACAGAAGGAGGGATTCAGGAGAGGCTGGCTCCTCCCCAAGGTTCATCCCCCAGACTGAAAGTGAAACTTGACTGGGAAGAAAGGGACTGATTGCCCTGAGTTTAGCGCCAACTGCATTAACGCACACCTCCTCCACAACTAACAGGTTTTAAATGGTAACCGTGTCCTTTGTGTTAATATTTATGCCATTCATTTAGTATTAGGGGGCTAACCTGGAGGGGCTGAACTAGTAGCCACGTCTTGCCCATTACATAAATAATAGAAAGAAAGGAGGCCATGGCTGAAGCTGAAATGGAGCTTCCAGATCTGAAATGAGGTGATTTAATGTTCTTTTTGTCTTTGGGGTATTTTTCATCATAGTTTTTACAGCACATACTTTTCTGACCAGTATCTTTAGAATCTGAATGTGTGGATACATTGAGGACACATGCCTGCATTGCTGAGCTTCTCTACTGAGGAGGCATTATTTTATTCACAAGCTAATGTTCTGGCCTACACAGCCAGATTGTGGTTGGTGCAGACCAACTGTCACCCATGGAAAATTCAGCTTCAGCTCCCACTGTCCTGACATTCCCTTGGGAGGAAGAGCCTATGGGCCCATGAAGGAAACTAGCTTCCTGTGAGAAAGGACCAAGTACTGCACACCTGCACAAGAGGAGTGGATGAGAAAAGTTGAATGCCGGGACAAGTGTTCTTGGTGGCCTACAGCAGCAAGGCCCAGAATGAGCTCTGGCACTCCATACCACGGAAAGTAAGGAGCACATTACCTGAGGACTAAGGGATATTTGCCAGCTCCTGTTTATTTTTGTCAAGAAATCAAACAGAACTTAATCCAAACCTTGTATTATGCTTTTGAAAATTCCATCCCTTCTAGGAATCTTGAAAAACTTGAAGTGCTCGCCAAATGTCCCCATGGGATCTTTGACCAAAAGTTAGGTCAGAACCCAAGAAATTTTCAGTTAGTCACTTGATCCCTCAGTGACAACACTTCTGGCAATTTTTCTCCATGATTTTGTTTTTGTTTTTTGCATTTCTTAATCTGTTGATCTATTTGAGGTCTTTTTGTGTTTATCAAACTTATTCTTAAGTTTAAAAAATTAAAAGGGTGGCTTTTATAAGACAAAAATTTTCCTATGTTCCATATCTTCAAAGTACTTATGAATAGTAGAGCAGTTCTTGCCACCCAGATCTTGTATTCTCTCTTTAGCTAGCCAAATTTGTCCTTGAATTTGGGTTTTTCACAACCTCAGAGAATTATTTCAAATCTTTTGTTATATTTTAAAGTATTTTTTGGAAGAGCTGCTAATTTTATTTTAAAAAACAAAGTTGTAAAAATATGCCTCCTTTTTAAAAAATAACCCCTCCCTCCAGGCCATGTAACCCAGAGTCACCATGCACAGGTCAGGCTCACAGAGAGCCTATGTGCAGATGTGCTTTCTTTACAGTGGCTGTAAAAAGTTTGTATTTATTATGTACAAAATGTTGAATAATAAAAAAACAGAATTAAGTTTTCCAGGATCTTTATAAAAACTCTTAGGTAAATGGGGGATTGGGGCGGGCAACATGCTTGTTACAGACACTTCAGGATCACAATGCAATATCCTAGGTAGTAGAGATGAAAATAAATACTGGTCTTTGCTTAGGTTCTTTCCCACTGGGGGAAAAAACAAAGAACAAGAGGCCTGTACTGAAGGGAGGGGAGACAGCCTGCTGAGGAGGAAGTACTGATTTTGGTACAGGAGGGGCCAAAATAGGATTACTGAAGCCCCTCCAGGGATTTAACTGCTGGTGTCCAGGAAGTAGTCATTCAGGATGTATGTTCACTTCCCTAAATCTTCACCCTGAGAAGAAATTGTATGAAAGGAGATCCTGAGGACTGCAGATGTGAGCAGAGGATTCTTGGTTACAGGTTGAGTCCCTCTGGCTTCTAGCCGAGTGCACCTAGGACTGAGGTGCACCACAGAGGCTTAATCCTTGGTGGAGAAGAAACACACACACCTCCCCTTTCCTAGAGCTGGAGGAATATGGCATGTATACTTCTAGACATCTTTCAGGACATATATGATGCTATTTATACATTGGTGAGGATATTAAATATATTCAGGTTTGTATCATTCTTTTACTTTATATTTTTGTTTTTGTTTGTCATTCTGTTCTATGGCTGTTTTTGATGGCTTCTTCGGTGAAGGACATTTAGGTTGTATCTGGCCATTTGCTTTTAGCAAATGAAGTTAACATTGTTGTTCATATTTCTTTATAAATTTGTTCCAGTGTTAATATTAGGTAATTTTCTAAAGGTGGGATTTGAAAGTCAGATAGGTATGTGTATATTTAACTTAGATTTGTCAGATTGGCATCCTAAAGAATTATATCCAGCCGGGCACCGGTGGCTCACACCTGTAATCCTAGCTACTCAGGAGGCTGAGATCTGAGGATTGTGGTTCAAAGCTACCCCGAGCAGGAAACTCTGTGAGACTCTTATCTCCAATAAACAACCAGAAAATTGGAAGTGGCGCTGTGGCTCAAGTGGTAGAGTGCTCACCTTGAGCTGAAGAGCTGAGAGACAGTGTCCAGGCCCAGAGTTCAAGCCCCACAACTGACAATATATATATATATATATGTATATATATATATATATACACACACACACACACACACACACACACACACACACACACACACACACACACACACATTTTCACCAATGCATCTAAAATAACAAATAACATGGGAGTTGGAAGATAGAAAGGCTGGGCTAATCCTGGCCCCTTAACTTGACAGCCATGGGAACCTGAGAAGGCAGCTATGAATCCAGGAAAGACATGTAAACCACAGGGTGGTTTCTACAAACATCAGCTCTCCTGGAGCCTTCAAGGGCCTCACCCCACAGTAACACACAGGTGATATGAGGCCTTTGGGAAGGACAGAAACCTGGGCGAGGCTGTCAGAACAGTTAATATTTCCATCTTCCTCCTTTCCCTGCAATGGAAGCTGCTCACATTTTAGTCTAATGTTGACCCTGGAGACGTAGTCTGTGACTGGGGTTTCCCTAATCTCATAGGTAAATTTCAGCTTCCTTTATCAGAGGAACTCTATGCAGTCAAGCCAGAGACTCAGAACGTATCACCTGAACCTCTTTCTCTCTGAGCCCCTCCACTCCAGCCTGCATCCACAAGCCAGAGACTGCAAGTAGAAGGCTGTCATCAGCCCTACCCTTGCCACCACCCAAAAGGAATGAAATAGCCCAGGCGCCAGTGGCTCACACCTGTAATCCTAGCTACTCAGGAGGCTGAGACCTGAGGATTGCAGCTCAAAGCCAGCCCCGGCAGGAAAGTCTGCAAGACTCTTATCTCTAATAAATCACTCAGAAAACCAGAAGTGGCGCTGTGGCTCAATTGGTAGAGCGCTTGCCTTGATTTTCTCCTGAAGAGCTGAGGGATAACACGCAGGCCCTGGGTTCAAGCCCCATGACCGACAAAAAAAGAAAATGTGATTATCAAGGGCTTATCCAACTTTCATTATAGATCAGTCCTGTTTACTAAATGCGTACTAGAACCTCACAGTTGAAATGGAAAAGGACACGATATTGAGAACAGATTTATGTTGAGAACATGGGCTTATTGGGGTGCCAAGAACTGAATTCAAGCAACTGGATTCATCCTTTAGGCCAAAACAGCCCTCAAACCCTAGGTTGTGTTGCTTTACCTAAGGATCCCAGCCACAGCTTTTGGGCTTGTTTCCCATTACTGCCAATCCTCTTCAAGTGGTCATATAACAAAATCTATCTGCTCTGAACTGAGCTATTTTTTTTTTCTTTTTCTGTTTTGGTTGTTAGTCCTGGGGGTTGAATTCAGGGTCTGGGAGCTATCCCCAAGGTTTTTGTTTTGTTTTTTCTGCTCAAGGCTAGTTCTCTACCACTTGAACCACAGCTCTCCTCTGGCTTTTTTTTTTTTTTTTTTTGTCTTGTGGCTAATTGGAGATGAGTCTTAGGAATTTTTCTGCCCAGGTTGGCTGCCTCAGATCTCAGCCTTCTGAGTAGCTAGGATTTCTGGTATGAACTACTGACCTGGGCTTTCATTTATATCCCTTAAGTTGTTTCTCATAGTCAGAGCAGCTAGTAGACACTTGTGGTCCCAGCACTTGGGAAGCTGAGGTGGGATTGTGAATCTAAAGTTTTTGTCAGTGGTGGAGCTTGAACTCAGGGCCTGGGCATTGTCCCTGAGCTCTGTCTTGCAAAGCTAGCATTCTACCACTTTGAGTCACAGCTCCATTTCCACTTTCTGAGTGGTCAATTGGAGATAAGTCTCATGGGGAATTTTCTGCCTGGGCTGACTTAAAACTGTGATCTTCATATTCCCAGCTTCCTGAGCAGCTAGGAGTACAGACACGAGCCATGGGCACCCGACAACAAGGGTTTGGGGTTTGTTTTTTTTTTTTGGGGGGGGGGGGTTGTGGCAGAATAGAACCAAGTTACAATTTTGTTAGGAATGGGAGAATTGAAATTTGCCCTTAAATCCTACAACTTGACACAACTAGTTAAGTTTACTCCTAGACTCTTGCAATGTTTATTTTGTTACTGCTTGAGCTGCCAAGAACTATATGAATGCCAAAGAGCATCTTGTTCCTGGACTATTTTCCATTGGTCTCAGTGGCCAAGAAAACACACACAGAACTTCTGCCATGTCTGTTTCTGAGCACTCTGGTCTGGGAATGTTTTTCTGGAATGTTTTTTCCTAAAACATAAAAAAGGAACTATGGTCCATAACCCCTTCTATGCTGTGTACCTAATACATTCCCTACCACTTGTTCATGTGCGAAGACCTGTGGACAGAACCCTAAGCCACCCTGGGCTCACCATGGCCTCAGGCTCAGCCTTTGCCTTTCTAAGCCTCACCTCCCTCAACTGTGAAGTGAGAATGAGAAGATAATACAAACTTCCTAATATCCACCATGATCAAAAGGAACTAAAGGTTTTCTGACTAGTGGATGTACTTGCAGAGGAAAAAAAACATCCTGTACCCAGACATTCTGTGTGTGAGTCTCACAAGTGTGTCTACACCTGGCGTCAGGATTTTTCAAGACCATTTCTATTGTTCTTTTTCCAGTCATCAACCATAGTGCCCCAGACCATGTGCAGGGCATTGAAGCCCAGCCCCTATCACTGAAGGCTCATACTAAGTGAGGGAGACTCAAACACAGTAGATTTAAACCATGACTGGCGGCCAGTGGGAACCCAGAACAAGGGCTTCTGTCCTTTCCTCTCCTTGAATGCTCATACCCTTTAAGGTCTGACATTGGGTAAGATGAGGCAGCCTTTGAGGGACTTACAGCCTTGAGATGGGAAGCTTCACAAATAGAGATGAAGACTCTAGAAGCCACTGACTTGCCCAGGATCTCTCAAGAGACAGAACCCAGAACTGGCCCTCCACAATACCAGGCCAGCTTCTCAGAACTTGAATCCAGTTTCAACCAAATAGAATCAAAAGTCCCTAGTTCTGGGAGCTGGGAAGGTGGCTCAGTGGTAGAGTGCTTGCCTTGCATGCATGAGGCCCTGGGTTCTATTCCTCAGCACCACATAAGCAGAAAAAAACAAAAGTGGCCCTGTGGCTCAAGTGGTAGAACGCTAGCCTTGAGCTGAAGAGCTGAGGGACAGCGACCAGGCCCAGAATTCAGGCCCCATGACCGACAAAAAAAAAAAAATGTCCCTAGTTCTTTCCTAGTTCTGCTGTGTGACCTTATCCCCTCTCTGGCCTCAGTTTATTCATATAGCAAGGCTACAGGTCCCTACATTGTTTACTATGGTCCCAAACTCAGGCAGGCAATACCTAAGAATGAGAAACTTGAGTACTGACCAGCAGAGCTGAAGTGGCTGTCAGCGCTTACTCTGTACTTGTTCCTCTCCTGAGAGCAAACCTTCCAGGCTGTCCTCTTCCTTTAGGAAGCCAGACATTAACCTGTGCTCCTGGAAGGGCAGCAACTCCTCATCACATGTGTGGCCAGATTTGCCCCTTGGGAAATAGAAATAAAGATTGAGTGGAGCAGAGGACTTGCTGTTCCCAAGAGTGGGTCATGATATTCCCTGGGTCACCTAAGTGTTGCTACACTCCTGTGAGGTATAACCAAAACATAGGGGTTTGCCCCAAATGGCATAGCTAGAAACAGCCTCCCAGAATTTATATTTTTCACCTCTTTGCCACCTGAAGGGACTCCAGCCCTCCATTCTCAGGAGCCAGAATGGAAAAGATGCAGGGAGGGGGGTCAGATTAGATGCAAAGCTGAGCATTTGGCACAGCAGTCTTCCTGCAAGGACCAGTGGGGGAGAGGCCTCTCAGCCCAACCCCTTAGAGCCTGAAGTCACGTGTCTTTTGTTGTTTTGTTTTGTTTTGCCAGTTCTGGGGCTTGAACTCTGGGCCTGAGTACTGTCCCTGAGCTTCTTTTTGCTCAAGGTTAGCACTCTACCACTTGAGCCACAGAGCCACTTCCAGCTTTTTCTGTATATGTGGTACT